CACATAATTTCTAAGGAAAATACGAGCTTTAACATGGTCATGTACACCTGAATAATCAGTGTTAGAGCTAAGTAAAAAAATGTTATTAGATTCTTTACAAGGGTGAAATCTATTGGACATAATCCCAATACTGTGATTTAGTTTTGGAAATTGTAGTGGACCACCAACTACAAGATGTTTTAAAATACATTAATAATGAAATACAAGAAAATGGTCTGTATTTACCAATAGTAATACTGTTTGTCATGAAGCTTACTATCTAAACTAAAAGCCTTCATAGCCTGACTTTATCATTCTAATTGTCAGAATCTAAAGAATTTAGGGAGAAGTGACAGATATGCTATTGAGATTTTTTAGAACAGTAATGATACTCAGGAAACTTGATGTCCTTGAAAATTAACCATGTTTTCATGACAAAAGGATCTGTCAAGAAAGAAAAATTCTTCACAATTTGCATTTTATTTGCTCATTTTTTGAAAACTTCATTTCAAATTTGAAGCAATTTATACTCAGTCCAAATATAACTCACATCATTTTGTGGTTACTGGAGCTTTTGGAAATATATGACAGTAAACCTAAATATGGTATAAAATATATACTCTGGTAGATGTGAAGACATTTTACACCTTGAATTTAGGAAGTTATTCTTGAACTCAGTTTTTTGTGTGTGCAGTAATATACCATATGACATTCTGTGTAGACAAAACCTATTTCAAAAAGTAATCCAAATATTATGTTCAATACTTGGTCTACTAATTATCTGTTGCAGTTATACTTGCTAAAAGATCACCAGTCGACCAGCACAGGAACTATTTCTAAGCATAAAGTTTAGATCATTGAAGAATTTTGTAAATTCCCAATAGAAAACTGAATAGTACAATCTTTGGATCTCAGAAATACATAACATTGGCCTCCTGTGTGGTGAGGAAAAACAAAGTAATACGGGCACTATCAATGTTACACCATGATGCTAAGATTGCTGGTGAGGCCGGACATGGTGGCCCAGGCCTATAATCCCAGTGCTCAGGAAGGTGAGGTAGGAGGAGCCTGCAAATTCAAGGTCAGTCTGTGCTACATAATGAATTCAGGGTTAATCTGGACTATATAGTGAAAACCCATCTCAAAACAAACAAACTAACAGAAAAGACCGATAGCGAATCCTCAACACATAGGAGCCCAGAAATGGTCACATTTTACAGCTGAATGGAAGCTGAGTAGATATTTTTGACAAGCAACTACTTTGTCATCTGAAACACAAAATATTGGACAATGATCAGGTCAAGCTAGATAGTCTTGTAGTTACAAAGAAAGTACCAAGCACAACGTATTTCAGAGAGGTTTTCTTAGAGGACTGGGACTGGAGTTGATGAACGATCAGTCACAACAGAGGAAGAACAGTGTGCATCTGCCCATTAACTCTGCAAAAGAATTCGGCTGCAGACTGGTGACTAGGC